GGAGGAGAAGAACAGAGAGGGGATGGTGTGGGGGGGGGGGTGTCTGGCTACAGGCCCCATGCTTTCACATACCCCCAAAGCATGAGGCCAGGATGGCTGGCCAAAACCATCCTAACGATGGAACTCTGGCCCCATCACACTCCTAAATTTGTCCAGCTGTCTGTTAAAATGAACTAAGTTGTTTGCCTCTATGGGCTTGTCTCACTTACCAGGAGATTGACCTCCCGGGGTTTGATTTAGCAGGTCTAATAAGTGCTCCACTGGGTCGTGAAGAGTAAGGGACATCAATGGGAGAGTTTCTCACATCAAGCTCCCACAGCAGGGATGCCACAGAAACTCGACCTAAGGTACCTCAACTCCAGCTAGCTGTTCAGGTAGCTGGAGTTGTGTCTCTTAGGTCAACCGTCTCCCTCAGTATAGACTTGGCCTCTAACACCTATTGGCAGGCTTTTCTAGAACCACACCCCTCTGATAGCCAAGAACAGTATAACTGCCAGCCCATATTTGTTCATGTCCTTTAGTTTAAATAGCTCTTCGCCCTCCCAGACAGTTACCCCCTTTCGGTGTTTTTAATCAGAAAAGAGAGAGATTTATTCAAAATCCCTGCTACCAGACTAGCAGCCTCATGTGCCCATTTTCTACATGCGGGGATGGAAATTACTCCCCCGCCCCCATCTCAATTTGAGCACATTAAGCTCTTGAAGTTTTCCTTCCATCTCAGATGTGGTAATTTCTAGACCGCCATTTCTATCAGCTGTTCTGAACTTATTCACATGTTCCATATTAGCATCCTTATTGAAAACTAAAGCAAAGTATTCATTCGCTTGTTGGCCATCTTGGTTTCTCAGATGGGGATACAGATATTCACGGCAGCCTACTAATATTAAATCTAATGAGGCTTACTGGCTTGTGTTTTCTTGACAGGCTGTGCTGACCAGAAATGTTACAACGGGGGTCGGTGTAAGCAGGCATTATATTCCCCTCTACACTTCATCTGCCAGTGCCATGCAGGCTTCTCAGGGAAGCACTGTGAGATCGGTGAGTGCACATGCAGTGAGGAGAGCTACACGTGGCTGAGGAATGGGGAAGGGTTTGCTACCCAGAGGTTGCTGCAGTGTACCAGGCTCTCAGCTGTGCTCTATTTATTTTAGAGCTAAGGGCTGCTTCTGCGGCAAGTACACTTATGCTGGAGACCTGGCCATAGATAAATACGGTCTGGCCTCAGGCCTGAAGACCCTCCTCTACACATGGGATCCGGGCTGCTGTGGCATTATGTTGGACTAATGATGTGGGAACCTAAGCTCTTAGAAGCTCCGTGGAGGGAAGTGGAGTTCCCGTGGGACAAGTTTGAGGCTCCCATTTTGCTTCCCTGTTGCTTAGATATGGAAGCCACATGTTACAAGGACTTGGGAGTAACATACAGGGGGACATGGAGTGTGACAGAGAGCGGGAGTGAGTGTTTAAACTGGAACATCAGCGCCTTGGCTCAGAAAAAGTACAATGGGCAGAGAGCAGATGCTGTTCAACTGGGACTTGGCAATCACAACTACTGCAGGTGAGTGGCAGGGGAAGGCTGGGTGCAGAGGGACACAGGCTGTAAGGAGCCGCCCTTCTAGGGAGGGGTACACACGTGTGGGGCTATGTGTATGTGCAGGATGCGTTTCAGTGCTATGTACAGCATGGGGTGAAGGAAGGATCGATGCAGTGTAGGGGACCTGCCACAAGGTGATTGTCCCTTTTAAGATGAAGCAGGATCCAATCCATCTATCTATCTCTGACCTGGGTTTAAGAGAAGGCAGCTGGGCCTATAAAGAGGCAGGTGAGAGGTGCCTGCGCACAAAAGGGAGATAGACAGAGAGTTGCCTTAGGAAAAAGAGATGAAGCAGATCAGTAACTGAGCTTCCAGCCATAAGTGAGGAGAGAAGCTGTTGGGAAGACTAGCCAGTGCTTTGGAACCTGGCCAAGTTGCAGAAAGTCCTGTGGAGAAATCCCTAGGCAGGAGAACAACTAGCTTGATCAGTGTAAGCTGGACTCAGAGGCTGTGGCTGAAGGGTAGCCCACCGGAGCAGGGCTAGACTCACTCGTGAGGAGATGTGAGGAAGGCCTGATGCAGGGCTACTAGAGAACACTTGTGGGAGAGAAGTGGCTCTTGGCACTGGCAGGGTGGGGCCCTGGAGCTGGCTCGGAAAGAACTGGGACAGGGTGGCTAACGGTGGCTCAGAGGGAACTCTGACAGGGTGGCTAATGGCTCTCGGGTGGGTAGGTGACCTTGGCATGAGACTGAGGAGACGCTGTCACCTCGTTTTGCTTGGGGGTATTGGGAGGAACAGTGTTCAGCACAAGGCATCTGCTGACTGTGGCACTTCGTGGGAATAAGAGAGTTTGAATTTAGTGCTGACACACACATTATTTGCATGGGCAGCTGAAGGGGAAATAGAGATCTCACACCTGATCTGCTGCAGTTGCCCATGACAGGGTTCCCCTGTACAGCACTGTGAAGATAACTGTATGTGGAAAGGAGCCAGGGGACTACTTCCTTCCTGGCCCCAACATTCTAACTGTCCCGGGGAGATCTCACTGTCAGGCTGTGTATGTAATCACACCCTTGGTTCCTTTTGCCCACCCTCACTTCTGTATCTGAAACGCCTGTCCTGAACCAATCTACCTAGCCAGCCCCTGCTTCTCCACACTCTCTTTAAAATACCCCAGTCCCTAAAGCTCTCAGCATGTAAACAGCATTGCATGCATGCAAGCTACAAACAACTCCCCACTCCTCCTGCCTTCCACGTAACAATCAACATTATTCAACCCTGTTGCCAACTCTGTCCACATATCTATACAAGCAACACCATCCACATAAGCCACACCATCAGGGGCTTATACAACTCACATACACTAGTGACATATGCCATCAACTACCAGCAATGCCCCTCTGTCATGTATATTGGCCAAACCGGACAGTCTCTGCAACAAAGGATAAATGGACACAAATCAGACATCAGAAATAGTAACACACACAAACAAACAAACCTGTAGGGAACATTTTAACCTACCTGGACACTCAACCATGAATTTAAAAAGTAGCCATTCTTCTACATAGGAATTTTACTACCCAATTACAGAGAGACACTGCTGAACTTGAATTCATCTACAAATTTGTCATTATGAACCTGGGCTTGAATAAAGATATTAACTGGTCAACGCACTACAAAGCCAATGTCCCTTGCCTTTGACATTCACATTTTCGCATCAAAAGCTATGAATGGGACACATCCAACCCACTTAATTAGCTTCATTAACATGAATCTTACAATTGACAGATAACTGCTTTTGCTGTTACATATATCTTGGATTCTGCTACTTCCACTCCAACTCAGCTGATGAAGTAGGTTTTTACCCACAAAAGCTCACGATTCTCTATTTGTTAGTCTCTAAGGTTCTACAGGACTACTCATTCTTAAATTACTCAGAGAGGCTGCAAGGGCTGGACTGTGTATTGGTTTGGTGTGGTATACACAATGTTACCATCTCTCTCAGGAACCCAGATGAGGATGCCAAACCCTGGTGCCATGTCTACAAAGGAGGGCAGTATACCTGGGAATACTGCAGCACACCGGCTTGCTTAAAAGGTATGTGCTGGGCCACAGGGGATACCTGCTGTGGAGACTAGATTTTAAGAGTTCCCTGGGCCTGATATGCTGCAGAACTGAGGCGTTCACTTTAAATGACATATGAGCGTCTAATCCTTCTGGCTGAAAAAGCACAGACTGCAGCAGCCTTCCTGACGCAGCACTGATTCATAGCGAGAGGAGCTCTTCGTGGAGGAGGAAGCAGCAGTTCATGCACTGAGACAACAGCTGAGGAGGTGGTTCCAGGAACAGCAGCTGGTATCTATCAGTTAATGGGCAGCTTTCTCCTTGCAGGAGGGAAGGAGGACTGCTTTTCTGGGAAAGGCACAGAGTACCGGGGCAGCCACAGCACTACTAGCTCTGGTGCCACCTGTCTGAGATGGGACTCCAAACTCATTGCCCACAAATTCTACACTGCTTGGAAGGCCAATGCCCAACAATTGGGGCTTGGGAGCCACAACTTCTGCCGGTAGGTAGGGAGACTGTTCACACATTTTAAGAGGAACCTTCCTTGCTCTGTTGCCTCCCTCTGACCTGCCCCACGAACAGGACATGGATACACAGTACTGCAGGGAACTTGCTGCCTGGCCATGCAGCGATTATGTGATGTCAGTCCCTGTAGGCAGCTACCCATGACACAGCTCTGGTGTCCTCCAGTGAAAGCTCAAAGGGGGCCTTGTTCCCGAGTTTGGATACTGGCTCCCAAGAACTGTCTGTGCTTTTCTCCACTGTCCTCTTCCCGCTGGGTCACTATAGTTCCAATGGGAGTCTGAGCAGCTGAAACCTTCTCCTCTTCTCTGTGTTCCAGAAACCCAGACAATGACTCCAGGCCATGGTGCCACGTGCTGGAGGCAGGCCAGCCCAAGTGGGAATACTGTGACGTGCCTGCCTGTGGTAAGGGACATCGCCATGCTCACACCCCTCCTCCCATCGTCTCTTTTTTTGAACCCCTGTCGCTTTGCTTCTTGCATGGTTACACTCCGGCCCCTTTCGGGAAGCGAAGAGCCACACTGCAGCTGTGTCTGCCAGGCTGGCAAGTGGAATGGGGGGGCAGGCAGGGCTTCCTGGCTCCCTTTCTTGTTGCTGAGTAACAGCTGTCCAAACACGTAACAGAAACTGGGTCAGCAGCAGCTTGCATCCACTGTTGCTTCAGCAGATACCAAGCATAGGAAGGCTGGAAGGCTTTTTAACTCCGGAGAGAGCAGAACAAGGGCCAGAGCACAAATGCCATGTCTGTGTTTGTCATCCTCAGCCACCTGTGGTCTCCGGCAGCATAAAGTGGCCCAGTTCCGAATTAAAGGCGGCCTCTATGCAGACATCACCTCCCACCCGTGGCAGGCTGCCATTTTTGCCAGGTATCGACGGGTGACTGGGGAGCATTTCCTGTGTGGAGGAATCCTGATCAACTCCTGCTGGGTCCTGTCAGCTGCACATTGTTTCCAGGAGAGGTGAGAGAAGAGAGCAGTCAGCATTTCTGATGGGGACGGGATATTGGGTCTCCCTGTTGCAGAAGTGGACGGCATAGGAGATCCCAGCATTCCGACTACACTTCCATGGGAGACACTAAGGCAGGATGGGAGCTGCCCCATGCACAGGGCGTACAAGCAGCTGTGCTGTTCAGAACCACTTACTCCCTACATTACTTCCCCTCCCCACCAGCACCCTTGGGGATTCAGACCAGCTCACCTAGATACAAAGGTCCCCTTCTAGCATGGCTGCAGCCAGCACAGAGGCAGCACTCTGGGGCTAGGCCTACTGTGCCTAACAACTACAGGGTAGGGATAGTGGGGTTTAACTCTGCAACTGCTTGACAATCTCATTCTTTGCAAGTTAACCCTGCATCTGCCCAGCTAGGCTCAAATCTGGGGGATAGGAGGGCTGCGGTGGTGAGTATTTTCTACAGAAAATTAATTACAAAGCCATGGAGGCATGTATCCCACTGTGCAGGGCCCCGTCTGGAACCCTGCCCACTACTCCGGTTACTGAGTTTTAGAGAGGATTGTTGTTCTGAAAGCAAATACAGAGGAAGCATCTGGAGTGTTCAGAAGTAAAGAGACAGTCATGCTGAACACAGCTAGTATAAAGAACGGAGACTGGGAGGCGAACAAGCTGTGGGACATAAGATACCTCACGGAGCTAAGAACGAATCTGTTACACAGGCCAATGAGAACTGAGCTGGGGCAGCTTGAAATATTGCAAGGAGGTTCAGAGGAAAGAAAAGCTTTTTCCATTATCTGTGCTATGAAGGACACTGGGATGCCCCGATGTAAATCCAGTCTGATGGGTTCTTTTATGAGTAATAAGGCTACAGGAGAGAAAGTTGAGCTCACACTGGCCAGCTGACACTCACAAAGGATGGGTCCCTGGCATTGAAGCTTGGAGAGACTCTCAAAACTCTTTCATTGATTTAGTGTCAACCAGCTAAAGATTGTGCTGGGTAGGACCTATCGAATGGTCCCTCAGGAGAACGAGCAGCAATTCCAAGTGGAGAAATACATCCTGCACAGCAAATTTGACCCAGAAACTTATGACAATGATATTGGTAAGAACTTCCCAAGCCACAGCTTCAGAAACGGCACCATCAGCCCAACTCTGTTCTCATACATTTTCTTTTCAGTTCTGTTACAGCTCAAGTCTGGGTCAGAAGAGTGTGCTAGTGAAACAGACACTGTCCGCCCTGTCTGCCTCCCTGAGCCAGGATTCCGGCTGCCTGACTGGACAGAATGCGAGATCTCTGGCTATGGCAAGCATGAGGAATGTAAGGAGATGATGTACCCTACAGAGCTACAGGATTACCCTATAGCAAGTTAATCCTTAAAAAGCATCCTCTCTCAAATGTTTTGTTTCTGAGAACTTGCCAGAAATTATTCTGCCAAGCTGCAGCCCAATGCAGCTTGAAATAGCTAAGATATTAACCTTCCAGAACAAAAGGTTTGTCCCTTCTGAGTTCAGTAGAGCCATAATGTGTTACTATCTAGTTACATAGTTATGTATAATCGTGTGCACAGATAGGACATCTGGTTTTCATTATAGCAAGTCTAATCCTCTCTAAAGCCATAACCCCTTTCAGAGAACTCAGTTCCCCGCCCAGTGTACACAATTAACACATCGTTCTACCAAACAATAGTTTTAGCTGAAGACAAATAGTCTACCAAGAAGACCACTGGAGATTATTTGCAGCCTGCCTTAGAAGACTTTTAGTGGTTGCCATTTGGAATATTGCAGGCAGCTGAGAGAAGCCATATCCTTAGAGCCCTGCGCAGATACAAGATGTACATCTGCATCCACCATCTGTATCTGCAAAAATAAGCCGCAAATATCTGCAAATCTCTGAAAATTTGCAGGGTTCTAGATACAAAATTTGTATCTGCGTCCATATCTGCAAAAATGAGCTGTGGATATCCGCATCCACAGATATAAAGACGATTTTGCAGGGTTCTGCATATCCCATCCCCGCTAGGTCCGAAGCAGTTTCCATGTGCCAAAACAAAGCCCTGGATTTTAAAAGTGACTGAAACAACTCGATAAGAGTTGAATTTTTTCTATGCCTACTTTACAAACATTGCTCTATGAACAGTTCTGGAATAGGGAGAGGGAAGGTAACTTGTAAAACCTCAGAGATAGCCAGGGCAGCAGAACTGGGTGGGGGTAGAGGGAAGGTAGGTGCTCCAGCAATATAAACTGGGTGGGAATCTTCCCCTGCATAGACTCTTCTGTGTATGTGGGAAGGTGACAGCAGGACCCACAGGAACTGGGACTGAGATCTTGAGGGATGGGAATGGACCTGGGAACAGATCTAAAACCCCAGGGTTCTCCTTTCCATCTGGCCCACTAAGGCTCAGTACCGCTCCTCAGTCTCCTTCCTATCCCTTTGCAAGGAACTTCTGCTTCCCCCAACCAAATACATCCATTTCTCTTGCAGTTTCTCCTTTCTACTCGGAGCGGCTGAAGGAAGGTCATGTCAGACTCTTTCCAGCTAGTCGCTGCACTTCTCAGCACCTGAGAAACAGGACAGTCACTGAGAACATGCTGTGTGCAGGAGATACCCGGCAACTAGATGATGCCTGCAAGGTAAACCCACCTCTGTCCCAGTCTTGGTGATGCTGCAAGCTTCTCAGCAGCTGAGAAAAGAGGCCACATTTAACCAAAACAAGCCTAGGACAATGGGCATTGAAAACTGCAGGAAATAGCTGGGCAGGAAACCCCACCTGGTGCAGGTTTCCTGTCACTTTCCTTTACAAATAGGTCCTCACAAGGGATGGCAGTGATAGGATAGGGCACTGCCCACAGAAATGGGAATGGAATGAGAGGAAAGCACACTCCTACAGCACGAGAACAGGGAACAAAGCTACAAATAGCAGCACCCATAATTCCCTAGCGAGCATGTTCTTGATGTACAACAGCATTACAGCGTCACCATTTCACAATTTGGAAAAAACTGAACAAGATTCTTCTAGGACAGGGCTAATGAACACACGACCCGTTTGCTTGCGGCCTGCGATGTGATTTGGGTTTACGGTGCGGTTTGGGTTGAGATGTGTTTTAGTAGTTAAATTCCTGGATGGTTGTGAAGCCAAAACAAAAAAGTAGTCAATATAACGGTCTTCTGTTGAGATGCGTTTTAGTAGTTAAATTCCTGGCCTGTTATTGCTCATTAAAAAGTGCTGTCATATAGGTGGAAATCGGGTAAATATTGCAGTTCATTAATATCTGCAGAACTGGCTTAAATGGGGTCTGCGTGTTGTGTAGTCTTGCCTTAATCTTTGTATTCATGCCTGTCCGTGTGAAAGAAGCTATTTGCATATATGTGTAACCACACTTAGGTTGTGGCCCTCGGCATGTGCTGAGAGTATCACTGTGGCCCCCGGGGCTTCCAAAGTTGAATAGCCCTATTCTAGGATTATTGTATTTAAAGGTTCCTCATGTAAGTTTCAGACTCATTGTTACAGGAATTACAGGGGAAAGTCTTCACTTTTTCCTTGGTTGCAGGGAGGAAAAGGGTGTAGGATACTATTCTAGCAAACACAGAGCCTAACTTTTTGAGGGAGAGGGCTCTCGTGGACTGTAGTATGCACCTTTGAAGATCAGGCACTATGCAAAACGTACACTTAGCAATGCAGAGGAAGTATCTATGGGCACCCCAGTATGGGAAGGCTTAGAGTCCAGTCAGAGTAAAGAAAGTGAATTAGTCTCTAACCTGCTTTCTCCTTGCAGGGTGACTCTGGAGGACCCCTGGTCTGTATAAAGGATAATCGTATGCACTTGATAGGGATCATCAGCTGGGGAATAGGCTGTGGACAGAAAGACACACCTGGTGTCTATACCAATGTGACTCGTTATCTTGACTGGATTCAGGACAACATAAAACCCTGAAGAAGGAAACTACCACTCAAGGCCTTGCAATCAAGCCCCATCTCTCCCTTACGGGAGGTACTAAGGATGCTGACAGGAGCTGCTTTTTGCAGATGCCCTATGATCACTCATCTGTAGGGGGCTGGAGCACAGCAGAATAGAGGGAGGGACATACACTTTTTAGGTACTCTCTCTCTCCTCTTTAGAGATTAGGAGACTAGGTTTGTTTTTGTCTGCACCAGGTCATATAAACAAATGAAAAGTAAGTTCTATGCCACAAGAACCTGCCCCCAAAGACTAACAGAGGGGTACGCACAGCCCACAGCACCTGTGGATGTGCATAGAAGGCAAACTCTGGAAGCCATCTTCTTTTTTTTTTTTTAGGAGGCAAAGTTATGACACTTGCAATATACTCCAAATAACGTACATGGAAACATGGTGATAGATACCCTGTAGAGCTTGGACCATGTCCCATTTCATGCTCCAAGGGTATGGGCTGCTGCTCAAATCCACTCCTGCTTCCCTATTTCTTAAAATATACTGAGGCTATTTGGCACGAGCCCCAGCTCCTCAAGGTGTCCTGGAAACGCTAGAAAGGGGCATGCAGACTGGAAGGGGATCCCAGCTTGGGATGCAAAGAGACAATGGAAACAGCAGGTGAGCACTCCCTGAAAAGCACGTGATAAAAGGATGGTCTACCACCAGTCTGGTTCCATGCAATGGGATGAGTAGAGAGCACTTTTGCCTGATGACAGTTTCACTAGGCCCAGACATACTGTGAGTTGGTCCACTTGCTCAGAACAATCTTCTAATTGGATTCTTAATCACCTGCAGCATTTGGAAAGATTTTTATACTATGCAGATATTTAGACTTCCCTGTATTTTTTTATGACAGTAGAATTCCTACCAGTGTACTGACAAGCTTAGGTTTATCCCTGGGAATATTAAACTATAGTCTTCCGAATTCAGCTTTGTTTTCATTGACTGACGTTATATTAATAATGACTTTAGGGGGTAAAGACTGATTTAAACTACAAAAAGGCAATGCCATTCTGGAATATATTAACAGAAGAGTCCTAAGTAAAGTACAAGGAGTAATTGTACCACTTCAATCAGCATTGGTGGGGCCACAGCTGGAGTCCTGGACATCACGTGTTAAAGATTTGAAACTAGAATCCAGAGGACAGCAACAAAAATGCTAAGAGTTTTAATAAACATAAGCTGCGAGGAAAGGTTGAAAGAACTGGCCTTATCAAATACATTACAAAATTGCTGTAAAGAAGGTGGCTTCCTGGCCAAACCAGTGCACCAAAAGAAATGGCTTGTCTGCCCAAGGGAGATATAGATTAGCTATCAGGAGAAACTCTTAGGCTACATCTACATTGGCCCCTTCTCCGGAAGAGGCATGTTAATTTCCAACTTCAGAATAGGGAAATCCGCGGGGGATTTAAATATCCCCCGCGGGATTTAAATAAACATGGCCGCCGCTTTTTTTCCGGCTTGGGGAAAATCCGGAAAAAAGCGTCTAGACTGGCGCGATCCTCCGGAATAAAGCCCTTTACCAGAGGATCTCTTATTCCTACTTTGAAGTATGCGCTTGAGGTGTGAATGCTCCACTGGTTTTTGTGCAAAAACCTTGTAGTGTAGACATAGCCCTACTGTAAGGATAGATAAGCACTAGCACAGGTTACCAAAGAGGTTGTGGAATTCCCCCTTTACTGGAGGTTTTTAGTAACAGGTTAGACTCGTGGGATCTAACATGCTAGCCACTAGCCACATGTGGCTATTTAGCCAGTTGAGTGTGGCTAGTTCGCCACTATAGTGCCTACTGCTATAGCAAACTAGCCAAACCCAACCGTCCAAATAGCCACATTGTTCTATAGTGGCTACTGCTTCAGAACTGGTTGGATAGCATGGAGTAAGACCAGTGGTTTCCAACCTTTTTAACCACAAGATCACTTTTTCAATTTAAGTGCAATGTAAGATCTACCTCAAACCCAAATACCCTTGCCCCACTTACTTCCCACCCCTTCTCCAAGGCCTCACCCTGCTCACTCCATCCCCCTTGCCTCCCCCATCCTCACACACTTTCACCAGGCTGGGGTAGGAGGTTGGGATGCAGGCTCTGGTCTTGGGCCATGCAGTTTGGAGCGTGGGAGGGGTTCCGGGCTTAGCCCACTTTGGGATCTAGGAGGGGTTTCAGGGTGCAAGCTCTAGGAAGGAGTTTGGGAGTAGGGGGACTCATGTCCGGGGCAGGAGGAGGTTCACAGCTGAGACGGGTTCAGAAAGCAGGGCACCATTTAACTGAGACTGCTTCTGGGTGGCGAAGTAGTGAAGTTAAGGCAGGTTTACTCCTGCCCTGGCCCTGCACCACTCCTGAAAGCAGCTGGCATGTACAGCAATGGCTCCATGGCACCATGTGCTGCCCCTCATGTACAGGAACTGAGCCCACAGCTCCTACTGGCTATGGTTCCCCGTTATTGATCAATGGGAGCTGCAGGAGTGATGTCTGCAGCAAGGACAGCATGTGAAGAGCCCCTGCTCTGCCTCTCTCAGGCACTGCAGGGACATGCCAGCCACTTCCAGGAGCAGCATTTGCAATAGGGATAATTACTCCAACCATGCCAGATTAGACATTTGAGAACTCACTACTCAAAGAATTAAATTTAAGTGTGAGAGAGAAATGAAAATGATAAAATGCACAGACCAGTCAAAATTCAAAAATAACACACTTTGCAAGCAGTAAAAGATGTAACAACCCTCCTCCCATGTATGTGTTGGGTTGGAAGAGGAGAGTGAAGTGTGTTTTTGTGAGAACACAGACACACACAGTGCGTGAATGTGCTAGATTGCCAAGCTCCCCCCAGACCCTTCTCTATGTGTGGAGATAGGATACAGAAGACAGACACCCTGACATCAGCACTCCCCTCTCCCTCCCACAACCTGCACAGCAAGCAAGAGGCTCCCGGAGGGCAGCTCCAAGGCAAAGGGCAGGAGCAGCATGACGGTGGGTGGAGGGGCAACTGAAGTGCTAGCGCTCGATAGCTTCCTGGCCAAACCAGTCAGGATCCCCTGTCAGAAGCTCCAAAATCTACCGATAGATTCCCGATCTCCTGGCTGGTGATCTCGGAGTTAGACCAACACCTGTCAGAGCATGGCATTTGCCACTCACCAATATTGTGTCATAAGCCCTCTACAGTGATTGCTGGGTGTTTCTAGTCATGTTTCTCCAGGGTGGGTTCTTCGTCCCACTGACCACGGGAGGCACTGGTGGGTCATTGTTGCACCTGTGCTTAACACCAGAACTGTTAAGGGTGGCTCCTTTTCCAGAAACAGCATTGTTTGACCTTCCTGGTTTGAGACATTCTACATGAAATTTGCTGACTTAGTTTAAGAGTAACTGCCTAGAAGGTGTGATAGGCCTCCTAGCAACCATTAAGCCTGCACTGACCACATCTGCCTGAGTCAGAGATTTTGATTTTAGATCCTTATGCATCCACATTCCTAAGCTTCACAAAGCCTTCCTCCCCTCACTGAGCAGCTTACCCTGGATAAACATGCACATTAGGTAAATAATAGCTTCAGGGCAAAGGAAGGCAGGAATCTGGCTGCATCCCACTGGGGCTGCCTGGGCATGTTCAAAGAGGAATCATTTTACATTTAATTAACCAAGGCAGTTTGCCTTCCTGGTTTGAAGATGCAGAGTGAAAAGACTGCAGCCTCTCTGACTGGATTATGGAAACCACCAACTGAAGACGGGATGTCTCAGTGGAGAGGTCGCTGACTCAGCAGCGGAGTAGGGTCAAGCAGCAGGGCTGTTTGCAAAGTCCTGGTTCCGTTCCAGTGACTTTTTAGCAAGGTTCTCAGCCTGCAGCGATGGGAATAGGGAAGATTTTAGAGGTTTAACTAAAACACAACAGCAGAGTTCACCACAGAGAGCTGCTTTAACAGATGTACTACAAAGAGAGAAGCGTAACGTTTTCTTTCCTTGGATGCTCTGGTGCAAGTTTATAGAACTCTAACGAAATCTGCTGACAGTAAGGAGCACAAACACTCCCTCCCAGACGACAAAGCAGATTCCTGAGAGACAACAGCAGTAGTTTGTCAGACAAAAGCATGTTGAATTGGTCAGAAAGTACTTTTTAAAATAGTTGGAGCTCTTTGCTTGTCACAATAGAGCATGTTGTCTAATTCTTTAATTATTTTTGTGGGTCTTCTCCGAACCCTCTCCAATTTGTCAACAACCTTCTTCAACTATGAATACAATTGCTTGACAGTTGTAGTCACCTCAGAACTCCATGCCAAATACAGAAGTAAAATAACCTGGTGGAGATCCCCCCCGTGTATTTATCCAAGGAGAAGATCAACTCTCTAAACCACACTAAGAACTCAGTAAACTGATTATCCACCAGGCCCCCAAATGCTTTTCAGAGGCTGTCTTTCCCAGGATACAATCTCCCCGCCCCATCTTGAAAGTAAGGCTTATATTCTTTGTTCCTAGCTGTACCTTTACATTTAGCTGTATTAATACACACATGGTAAACGGGGAGCAAGCAAACAAAATGATCCAGATTCCTCTGTCCCAGTGACCAATCCCCTTCATTATTTACCACACCCTCAATATTTGTGTCCTTTGCAAATTTTATTAGTGATGATTGTGTGTTTTCTTCCAGGTCATTGATAAACATGTTAGCATAGGTCCAAGCAGAGCCATCTCATCCATAGGATGGGTTTGGGATGGCTGCCCCAGGCCAATGCTTTGGGGAGCCCTGTGGTGACCGCCTCAACTGTCCTATGGAAGTAGTCCAGGGGATTACTGAGCCTCACAGACCAGAATCAGGCAAGTCAGGGGCCAGATGTGACCCACAGGCTCTGCCTGGTTGGGGAGGAAGCAGCTCTGTGTACTGCTGCTCCCTTTTCCTCCCACTGCCCAGTTGGGGAAGACATCAGCGAAGCCAATAGGAGCAGCAGGGGATGATCCCTGAGAGTAGCAGGGGACACAGAGCCATGTGTGCCCCTGGGAGCTGTGCCAGGTAAGCACCTCCCTCCCCCGTGCCCATTTCCCGTTGTTGCCCAGACCCCGCCATCCCTGCTCTGCTCCTGCACCCTACCTCCCAGCTAACCCTCCCACTCCCAGCCTGCTGTTGCACCCTCCCTCCTGCCAAGACCCCACATCCCAAGCCTATTTCCCAGCAGCTCTCTCCGTACACCCAACCCCTCATATTGGGGCCCACCCCAGAGCTTAGGGAAGCTTACAAAATCTACTAGCCCAGGCCCCTCCCAGGGCTCTGATGTGGAAGGGGAATGTAGGGAGTGTCTTTCTGCTTCTTACTGGGCCACGTCAGTGAGGGTATTTTTAGTTTGGTGGGAAGGAGTTTCCCCCCTCACTTTTGTGTGGCCTCTGACTGATTTTTCTGTAGATCAGAAGGCTAAGGGGCAATTTGAGCAGAGTTTAAGTACCTACTTGAGGAACAAACATTTGAGAAGGGTACTCCAACCTGAGGGAGGGGGAGAGAGGAGGAAAGGTAGAACACAACCCATGGCTGGACTGCAGACAAATTCATAAGCATAAATGTTTAACAGTCAGGCTGAGTAGCCACTTGGACAATTCACCAACAGTCATGGTGAACTCTTCATTACTGGCAATTTTTTAAACCAAAGATTTGCTCTAGAAATTGTTTTTGGAGGTTCTATCACCTCTTACACAGGCAGTCAGACTAGATGATCACAATGGTCTCTTCTGACCTTGGAATTAATGAGTCCTTCCATTCAACCCTGGTACATCTCTCGGATGGCCCATGGTCCATTTAATAAGGACAAGAGAGTGAATCTCATCTGTCATCCAAGAATCCCTGCCTCCTCCACAGACTGTCACACAGACCTCTAGCCTGCAGAAGGTAAGGGAAGGAACCTTGACACCTTACTTTCCCTCACTCAGATGGTGTCCAAATACTCTCAGTTGCTCCAAGACTCAACTTCTGTATGTACAATTCTCATTCTGGCCCTCTCCTGACTACAAAAAGCCCACAGTGCCACCATTGTTTTTATTAACAGACAACTGACCATTGGCAAGAACCATTCCCTGACCTGGCACTGACTACATCATTTTCAACTCCATTTATTTCACCTTCAAGATCTTCCATTACTCTGCTCTCTAGCACTTACTTCTCATTGCATCATTCCCAGGCCTCATTACTGATGCAAGCCACAATGCTATTTGTTCAGCTTTCTTACAAGTCTGCTGTTGTCTCTGCCCACACTTCTACCAGGTCTACAAAACCAAGATTTTCATCTCATCCTCAAGAACAACTTCCAGCCCAATGCCTACCAAAAGTTAGACAGCTGGATATTTATTCTAATTAAATACACTGCCAGCCTCAAAGCGCCACCTTCCTTTCCTCCCTCATGCCACAGTCTAGCCTCTCTGAGGTTACCTTCCCCTCTCCCTGGTGCCTTGTTTGGCTCTCATACTCTATTAGCTGGTAAGCTCATCATGCAGGTATTTATTTATTTAGATTAAGAACAAAAATATACCTATCCAGGCAACCTAACAAATTATTAGCCAAACAATACAATGGAACCCCAACCACATTAATTATTTCACCACAAACGTAGCCAGACAAGAAACCTGCCGAACGCCTTTCCATCTCTTCATCATTATAAGGAGCACTCTTAGCCCTCTCCAAAAAACATATTGAACTGATCTCTTTGGCTGGCCTAAGCAGGCTGCAAAAGATGTGCTGGATAAAAATTTTATAGAGGCACTATCACATTCAAAGTATCTTAGACCAAGGAAGAGGAATAAGTTTTAGTCTCAGAGCCTTACGGAGAATAAGCTATCGGCCACATCCTGCCTTTTATAATGGAGGCATTGCATCTGCTGTTTTAGAACCCGCACAGCACAACTTTGGGTGCCACTGTACCTGATCTGATCCGATCCAGTGATCATTTCACTGGGGCCCGCTCATCCAAGACCCACTTAGCATGATCTAGCTTCAACCCTGCACACTTTCTGCAAACCTTTTGAACCCAAGAGAGCAGATTGAACACAGACTACAGATAAAATTGACCTTTATTGATACCTGGGCAGAACTGTTATATTTGCATTGAGCATGCTCGGATCCTAGGGCACCCTACAGCACAATTCATATTAGTTGCACAACACTGTGTAATTCCAAAATGAGGAGCACTCACCCAGTACAAGCACCTATCACACACAGATCAGAGTAGAATGCATGTTATCCCACAGTGGGTGTTGCTCTGTTTGCTCGCGCTCTCTCTCACTCACTCACTCACATTAGGTGTGCTCGGTTATGTAGTCATATGCACAGTGGTCTACAGGCATGTTTTGCTACCCGAGAAGAGCACACATGATATCCAATGGCCAAAGAACACATGGGCACCATGGAGCTACATGCGCTGTCCAGGTCTACTCTGTGCAATGCAATGCAGTGCAGTGCAGTATAGGCTGGGACAGGAACAAATGTGGCAGTCTTTCATAGGACAGCCCAGAGGAATGACAATGGAGGCCAGTGCTCACCAGAACTGCGAGGCAGGGAGTGGAATCAGGCAATACAGCAGGAACATCGTGCAGATACCAGAACACAGGACCTTGAATGAACACAGCAGCGAGCAGCAGAAGAATGAACACAGACATTATTAGAGATTGGGACAGACAAGAATCACTCCCACACTCTATCAGGACACAGCCTCGCCTCTTCATTCAGATGCAATTACAGTTGCCATCCAATAGACATCACTTCATACAGATGCTTAAATAATAGTATATACAACTGTCCTCACAACCCCAACAAGGGAACCAAGAGAAATCCCCCCTTCTCCCCCCCAAAAAAACTGAATAGAGAAGAAAGGCAGTCTCATGATGGTAAGCACGTTTAGAGAGCCCCATCTTCCAGACATCACAAGGTAACCCCTGCTCCAGTCAGGTCTTGGCAGGGCACAAGGCTAGGTTTAGCTGGGAATTTCCAGTCTACCCTTGAAGACTCAAGGAGCGTTTTCTCAGTAAGAGATAACCAGGTTCACTCTTCCAGCCTCCTCCCTACTCCTCTCGTGCACCCTCTGAACAGGCTCCTTCCCACCTCTAGAAGAGATGCCTCCATCTCCCTTTGCCTCTTCAATGTATATATCAGGTCCCACAGCAATTGAGGCCAGTTAGGGAGAGGAGTAAATTCTAAACCACTAAACTTTCAATCCAACTTCTTTACGTGATCCTTGTTTGATCTGCATAGAAATGCCACCCAACCTAGCAATGCACGGGGCTCTTAAGGGGAGTAGACAAGCAGGTTGAAAGTGGTGAGGAGTGAGGTGATGTATCTGAACCCGCAGCCCCGGAACTGGAACATTTCTCTTATTTTCCTCTGCCCCCACCTGAGAACTTAAGACTCCTCAGCTAAAGTTGATATGGTTTCAGGTCAGTCCTGCTCTGCCACTCCCAATCCACCTGGGCATTGGCATCACTGGAGGACCTAGAACAAAGCAAGGGTCCAGCCCTCGGGGTTGATAGTGGGCAGAGGCTGCATCCAACAACTGGGTACACAGGAAATGAGAAAGTGCTTGTGGTTCTTCCCTCACTCTTGGGCTCTAAGTTCGGACTTGGAACTTGCCAGCCTTGGTCATGTATTTTATGCCCTTGAATGGTTTGTACTTCTCCCCATACATGTCCAGGCGATTCACTTTCAGCCCTAGAACAAAGGAGAAGATAGTGAGACTTCGGGGATCGGAGGAGCACTGCAATTGCCAGACACTAGAAATACGCAAGCAAAATTGGAAACCGGACAGACACAGGAATGTGGGCAGCTGGTTGGTACCCGCCTCAATTTTATTAATAACACTGTTCACCCATGTTGTACATGTCCCAAAAACGCTTTTCAGAGCTGTAGCAGGAGAAAGGAATGTGGGGAAGGAGGGTGTGCACAACACAGACAGGCTGTTTCACAGAGTAGTTAGGAGAAACTGTATGAACAACCCCCAAAGCCCACAGTACAGAGACTATTTTAGATGAAGAACCAGTTAGGACATTCACATGGCCCCACATGCATCCAGAAGCACATTTGATACGTCAGCCACATGCTCAACCAGTGCCTGAAGCAGAATGGGGCTGCCTAGGCTCCAGGCCGACAGTCACTTACCAGAGATAGCCAGCTGCTGAATTTTAAACTGCAGGTTGATGGTGGGATTCTCATCGGGCTTTGATGTGCCGGCTTGAAGGCTCATAGTCCCCTTCAGACTCGGCAGCTTCTGAGGGTTTATTTTCCCAACATCCCACGAGAGCAACTTCAAAGGACAGAGAGAAGGTATTGAAATAGATGGATGTAATGATGGCACCCTGTAAAGGCTACTGTGTCTACCCCTTTCTGGAGACTGATTTGTCCTGAATTAACCCCAACTTTCATCTCTTGCTACTTAAAAACTACTTGCTTACAAAAGTGTCACAGTGACGATTAACAAAAAACCGATTTCTCTCTCATTTTTACCATGTAATTATGAAATAAAGTCAACTGGAATATAAATATTGTATTTATTTTAGCGCAAAGAATATAAAGCAGGAGAAGCCTGTTTCATATGAAATTTTAGTTTCCACTTTCTCTGCTAGTGCTTCTTCTACAGCCTGTAGATGAGCTCATGTAAACCCTAGAAGACCTCTGCATACCCTAGCGGCTCCTGTGCCCTTGGATGAGAACCACTGCAGTAAAGAACCATACCACAGATGGTTTTAAGCAAAGGTGCCATTCTAGCATTTGGTTCTCTGCAGTCAAGCCAGGAAGAGTATTTAATGCTGCATGATGAAACTGTGGGTCTAATTGAAGAAGTGTGCTCCCCAATGGCTAAGATTGGCATTTCCAGTGAGATGCTACCTCACTTGGGACATCCAATGATCCCTGGAAAGAGATCTTGGCAAAGAGACACAAAAGAAACAAACTACTAAAAACCGAGTATATTCTCTTGAATAAGATCTTATGGCAAGGAAATCTGTAATCACACTTCAAGAGACGCACTCTTTTACACAGACCCCCAGTGTGGCCATTAGCAATACTCCCTTCTTGTAGAACATTGCAATCCTTGTAACTTCTGTTCCACCCAGGAGTGAGTGACCAAAAATCAGGTGTTTTACTACAGGAGATAATCCCCACTTCCATTTCCACAGTGTTGCCCATCCCAATTCAGAGAGGGATGGCTATTTTCTCAGAGGCCTGAGCAGTTCAGTCTGCATCACAAGGGGCAGAAAGTGCGCTAAAATAGTCCTAGGTAAGAATTCCTGTCCTGAGAGTGGACTCTCTGCAGGTTAGGAAGACACTGCTGGGAGTGATGCTCAGGACTAAAGAAGCGGAGACAATTCTCATTCACCTTGAGACTGGGAGCTCCCTTCCAGATCTTAGGCCAAACCCAGAGAAAGTGGGTTATGCAGTTTGGCCACTGCTGGGAGAGAGAATACTGGACTAGATGGATCTCTGGTCTGACCCACTACGGCAGTTTTTGTTTTATGTTCTTATCAAGAGAGTGACCCACATACATTAGGCTACAAGACAAATCCTGCTGCATCCTTTCCTCTCACCTTTGTAACTGGATCAAACGTGTGAATTCCCTGCGAGGGGGTGAGGCTCATGTTCAAGACCCCTTTTGGCATCTGGCTGGTGACCATCACCCCCTCTACAGTCTTTCCCATAGTCTGCTTGGGACCCACAGTGATCTCAAACCGTCCCAACGAGCTGCTGTCACGGAAATTTATGTTGTGTTTGACATAGACAGGAATTGCCACCAAGCTGAAATAAAAGACAAGTCACGGCTATTGTAACCTACCCCTCACCTTCACTTTCCATTCCACCAATCACCCAAGCCCTGCATTGCCAACACCACAAGACATTACTTCTGCATAAGAAAGAAGTAAAGGAATATTATATGGCATCTAAAGCCCAGACCAGGAAGTCAGGATTGCATCTCAGCTCTGTTAACCACAGAACCATAGAGCTGGAAGAGACCTCAGGAGTCATCAAGTCCAGGCCCCTGGCCAAAGCAGGACCAACCCCAACTCAATCATCCCAGCCAGGGCTTTGTCAAGCCGGGACTTAAAAATCTCTAGGGATGGAGATTGCGCCATCTTCCTAGGGAACCTGTCCCAGTGCTTCACCACCCTCCTAGCGAAACAGTTTTTTTCCAATATCCACTCTAGACCTCCCCCACTGTAACTTGAGACCATTGCTCCTTGTTCTGCCATCTGTCACCACTGAGAACAGCCTTGCTCCCAGTAACCATATCATTCAGTAGGTCACAATCTTTCTGTACCTGGTTCTCACTTCCTCACACTGCAGGTGTGTCAAGAATTAATTAGTGCGTGGAACCTGCTTTGGAGCTTGGGTGAAGGATGCTGGATTTTCTTGTCATCAGGTTGCTCTAAGCAAAGACAGCAGCACTTCCTTGGACCACGCAAGTGTATATGAGGCTCGACACCATCATTTCTGCTCTTCTCTATATATGCAGATTGCAAGGTGTGCTTCGTTCAACCAAGTCTACAAATTGTTTTCGTGTCTAGAGCCAAGACTTGCATCTTTCCAAGGTGAAGCGCAAAATGCTGGAATAGCTACCAGCTCAATTAAAACAGACACCAACACATTATGGAATTATTTGACAGTATCTTAAGGACCCTTCTTAGTGTAAGGAACTAAAATGGACAGCAGGCAGTATTGCCTACTTTGTCACAACTGTAGATTAACATCCTCTACTAGAACATGAACAGAATTGGCATGTAGAATTGAAATTGCAGGACTGTTGCCTCAAAAAGTAAAGTAGTTTAAATTAAAAAATAGCATTAGTTTTTCCAGATCCTCACTCAGCAAGCAATCCTTTTCTAGAGATTACTTAGCTCCATGCAGAAAAGGACAAAGATCCAGATTTTGAAAACACTCAGCACTAAATTCCCTACTTACTTCTGAGCGCTGACATGATAGGAGAGCAATCGAAAATTTCCATCTGGTGGGATGAAAGAGAGGATCCGCTCTGACTCCCAGCGCTTGAAACGCACACATGGATGAAAGCTGACATCATCCAGTAACCGAGGGTTCTGAAATAAGACTGAGTCAGAAAGTCCAAGAAACCAAAAACATTTGTGAAAAAAAATCCTACCTTAGGCATCTGAGATGTGACACATAATACACTCTTCTCTTCTGTTCTGTAGCTGGTTTAGGCTATTTAATATTTGTGCAACAGATTATTAGTTTAACAAGACACGTGAAATAGCCAACCTGATGTAAACTCATTACAGATGAGCCAGAGAGAAATCTGCCTTAGGCAGTGCTATATCTTGGAATTTAGTGAGCCTACACACTGCTATTGGCTACTTCTAACAAACAACCACGCATGCATCCAAAATTGTAGATGTGTATTGAGATTTTTTTCATTTTATGTATTCCTTCTTCCCTTGGCATACCTGGAAACTGTCATAGCTAGACCTGGAGAAACCTGGAGGCTAGTGAGGCGGTTTGATTAAAGAATCCTGTACTTCCTTTATACAGTACTAGAAGACTTATCTGCCATTGCCCAGGTCCTTCAGGGCAAGAGGCTGGTGGTGTGGGGAATGCAGGAGTCAGGTCAGGGGCTTGGGAATGTGGGGGGCTTAGGGAAGGAGGTGAGAGGTTTGGGGGGGTGCAGGAGTCAGGTGGGAGATTGAAAAGGGGCTGAAGGCAGGGGGTTGGGAGGAGGGGAAGTTCTGGGGAGAAGGTGGCTGCTGGTTTTTCCCCGGGGGTGGTCTGGGGGAATGGGGGCCACACACCTTGCCTGCTGGCTCCTCCATGGGAGGCCTGAGAAGAGGAGAGCCATGCACCCTGGCCACTAGAACTCCCTGGATCTAGCCAAGGGCAAGGGGAGCCGCCCACCAGCGCTCCTGGGGCCGGCCAGAATAGCAGGTGCTGCCAGCCAGCAGCTGGATGCTGGGACACTTGCTGCCCCGCTGTGGTGATTCCTATCCCTGTGTTTGCTGCTTCCCTGTGGTTATGTGTGAGTATAACCGTCCCTGCCATCATACTCTTCCCTTTCCATTTGATATTAAACAATAGCATTTCTCAAACATCCCATTGTCCTGGCACAACCAAACCCTGACCTTGCTTTAAAGTTAGGATAAGAGGAAGCTGAATACCAAATGAAATGGTCCTCTCTCTTACTATTTAGGAGGAATTCTTGTACAAATGGACTCACAGACAGACAGATGCACATTTCAAGAATACATAATAAGATCAAAAGGACCTAATGCTCCTTTTCTTGAACTTTACCATGAAAGAGAGGGTGAGATCTGGCATCCCAGTCAATTTAACACAAGCATCAATCACCCCTTGGATTTCAGCAGTAATTGTAGAACCTACAATAGGAAATAGAACAGAACAGATTCTGCTGGAATCCATTTTATTTTTTCCACGGGGAGAGGGAGAGTTAAACAAAGCATTCCAGCCCTGGGGAAATTCTATTTAAGGAATGGGAAGCAATCAACGGTTTTCTTCAGCTGGCTTTTGAAACTGCCTCCCCCACCCTAAGAAGATGCACTCAAAGAAACCTGAAAACAATGAATGGTTTGGCATAGGCCAGAGAAAAGATCTCACCTCTGTCTTGAAGGATTATATCTGGAATAAGGACTGGGGGGAGAATTATGAACTGTAGGGTATTCGGATTAGCTGGTGTGTTTTATTTTAGATTAGTAGCTTGTTTTTATCTGTCTGTTTTCTTTTACTTAAAATCCTACTTTGTTTACTTAATAAAACACTTTTGTTTATTATCAAACCCAGCGTAAATAACTGTTATGGGAGAGGTGGGAGCAACCACTGTGCATCTGTCGCTTTCACTGATACAGAGCAAACTCTGAGCTACTTCTGTGTAAAACTTTTACACAGAGTAAGATGGATTTATTTGAAGTTCTGATCCCTTTTGAGGGCTATGATCCTAAGTGCTGTCAAGTCCCTATAACTGAGCCCTCCCAGAGCTGAGCTGGTTCAGCATCTGTGTTACTCTGCCGGGGGGCTATTACCCCAACTCAGCCTTTGCTGGGGCAGGCCAGAGCTTCTGGCCCAGCAGGACAGGGTGATGGGGTGCTCCAGAGGGCAGGTAGGCAGGCTCAGTGGTATGATCAGCACATCAGGTGACAGCATCAAAGGGACCTTTGTGATCCAACCTGTCACAATAGGCTTCTACCTACTTCAACAGCTGACAGTGACAGCCTTCACCTCCAGTGAACCTATGGGAAGATGCACTACGGTTAAGGAAGTAATTTCAACAACAAAGTTTTCTCTCATCTTCTATTTTTCCAATGTAGAGTTGGTAATAAAGATTTCAAAAGGGAGCAGAGGAAGAGGACAGATTAGTTTAGTGCCCAAGACAAACCCAGTCAGGACTTATAGCTTGAATCCACAGACATTTTACAGAAACTTAAGACTAAACAGCACATCTGAGCTGTCAACAGATCAGACTGAGAATGGGAGAACAGCTTCCAATCCCTCTCTGTCCATTAAGGAAAATACACACTGTCTCCCTCTAAGCCAGGGGTGGGCAAAAATTTTTGCCCACGGACCACTTCAAAAATTTTTGAAGTAGCCCTGGGCCATGCCAGAAGGGGTGAGGCCTAAACAGGAAGAGATGGGGCTACTCCACCCCCAGACCATGATTAGTCTGGGGGTGGGGGAGCCCCTTTGCCCCCCTTTTCCACTAGGCACCTTCCATGGAAGAGGCTTGGCATGCTCCCCCACCCTCAGGCCAATCAGGTCTTGAGGCTGGGGGAGCACGGGAAGCCTCCTCACACTCTGCAAGGAGCACGTGGCACTTTGAAGTGCTGCGGGCTCCTTGCAGGGCCTGGACAGGGTGAAGGAAGCTTCACGCAGCTCCCCCGCCCCCAGGCTCTGATTGGCCTGGAGGCAAGGGGGCACGCGAAGCCTCCTCCGCTCTCCCCCCCAACCCTGCAAGCAGCACGTGGCACTTTAAAGCGCAACGTGCTCCTGGCAGGGCGGGAGGAGGCTTTGCGCATTCCCCTGCCCTCAGGCCAATTAAGGCCTGGGGGCAGGGGAGCATGCGAAGCCTTCTCCGCTCTGCCCCCGCCCTATGAGCAGAGTGAAGAAGGCTTCGGCCCACAGAGGCAGGGCCGTCCTTAGGCATATGCAGAGTATGCAGCTGCATAGGGCACCACTATTTCTGGGGCATCACTCTGCTGGGATGGACAGTAAGCACCGGAGCCGGTGGGGGCCCTGCTCCAACAATATTTGGAGCTGGGTCTCTCCCCCGGCTCTGTCTGGAGCAGTCCCTGGCCCCAGAGCATCCCCCCCGCAGCCCCGGACTGTCCCTGCCATGCACGGCTTTCACTCTGGCTCCCCCCTGCCGGCTGCTGCCGACATGCGTGGCGTTTGCAGGTGAGCGGGGAGGATGCCCGGGCGTGATGTGACGTCACAGCCCGGGACTTTAAAACAGCTCGGAGCCATGTTGCGCCGCTCAGCCTAGCTCCAGGTTCGGAGTACGGGGCCCAAGCGCAGACTCTGGCCCCGCAAAGTGGAAGGCAGAAGGTAAGGGAGGGGTGAAAAACTAGGGGGAGGGAGTGGGAGAGGAAGGGGCTTGTGTGGAGGAGGAGGGGGAACAGACGGAGGGAGTGGGAGAGGAAGGGGCTTGTGTGGAGGAGGAGGAGGAAAGAGGGGAAGGGGTAGGAGAGGAAGGGGCTTGTGTGGAGGGGGAAGAAAGGGAAAGGAACCAAGGCACAGGGTGGAGGGGAGACAAAGGGGCCCAAGTGCAGACTCCGGCCCCGCAAGTGGAAGGCAGAAGGTACGGAAGGGCAGGGCAGGGGGAAAAAAGAGGGGAAGGGGTAGGAGAGGAAGGGGCTTGTGTGGAGGGGGAAGAAAGGGAAAGGAACCAAGGCACAAGGTGGAGGGGAGACAAATGCCAGGGGGCCAAGTGCAGACAATGAGGAAAAGGGCAGGAGGGGAGGTATCAGTAGGGGGGGGGGGGGACAGGGTGATGCTGGGAGAGGAAAGGGTAAGGGCATTGGGGGCTAGAGAGGAAGGTGCTGGGAGAAGGCTTGAAAGAAGGGGTGGCATGAGAAAGGTGGGGATGGAGCAAGTCACGTGTGAGGGCACAGAGGGGCATGAGGAGAATGGGGGCAGAGAGTGGTGATGGGGTGGGCATCAGGGAAAAAGAAGGCAAAGGGGGCAGGGGCAGTAAGGGAAGGGGGAGGCACCAGGAGGGTGCGGGGCTAAGGGAAGGTGCAGGTGCCAGGGGATTCTGGGGGTGAAATAGAAGGGCAGACCCCTGCAGGGGAGGGACCAGCACCAGAGGAGAGAGGCAGGGCAGGTGTGTAGAGGGAGGTGTTAGAAGAGGGGATGAGGAGGGTAGCTCACATGATCAGAGTGGGGCAACTGGAGGGCTGAGGGCAGGAGTCAGGACAGCAGAGGAGGGTGAGGAGTTGGGGGGCAGCAGGCACCAGCGGAGCTGATGGAGCAAGGGGAGGAGATGTGGCAGCAGCGAGAAAAGGGAAAGGTTTATAAAATATTTATTAATAACTTGGGTGCCACATCCAAACAAGCCCCATGAACTCAGTACTGGTGCACAACACAACATTCATTCTGCTCATGGGAAGAAACTCTTAGGCTATGTCTGTACTGGTGGCTTCTTGTGCAAGAACTCTTGCACAAGAAAATGTCCACACTGCCATGTGGGAGATGTGCTTTTGCGCAAGAGCATCCTTGGCAGTGTGGACGCTCTCTTGCGCAAGAAATCTCTGATGGCCATTTTAGCCATCGGGCTTTCTTGTGCAAGAAATCCCTGCCGTGCGTCCACACTGCCCTCTTGCACAAGAGCTCTTGCACAAGAGAGCTTACACCTGTTAGAAAAGAGCATAGCTCTTGCGCAAGAAGCTCTCTCTTACCACACCTTACTGTAAATTTTCTTGAGCAAGAGCAGGTGGGCAGTGTGGATGCTCTGTGGAATAATGGCTATTCTTGTGCAAGAAGCCATGAGTGTAGACATAGCTTTCCTTGCTTAGGGTGGCTGCAGCAAGAAGCATCTTGCAGCCCAGCCCCGGGCTGCCAGCAACACCTCCTTAACAGTTAAGAGGCCGTGTGAGACCTAAGGAGGGGGAAATCCCTTGCAGGAGTGGAAGGAAAGGGGAAGACCGCCCCATTGTCTTCGCTGCAAGGCGTGGCCAGAGTTGGGCAAGCCCCAGAACCCCTTCCCAAAGTGAGGAGCTGAGAAATGGGAAGAAGGAGCAGCCATAGCCGGGCAAGCCCTGCTGTGAGTGGGGCATCAGTTGAAGCTGTGTGGGGCGCTTTTTTTCTTCTCACTTGTGGGTGGTCTTCAACTGATATCTCTGAGGGTTAGTGGCTCCCAACCCAAACAAGGTTCTCCACTGCTGCATTAGAGGAACGGAACAGCTTCACTATGAGGAGAGATTCAAAAGGCTTGAACTTTTCGGCTTGGAAAAATATATAAGGAGGGATACAATAAAGGTCTTTAAAATCATCAAACCTGTGGAAAAAGTGAACAACAAAGTGTGATTTACCCCTTGTAATCAGGGCCGTCCTTAGCCACAGGCAGCTGCCTAGGGCACCAGTATTTCTGGGGCACCAATACTGTAAGCTTATGTTTGTGTTGCTAAGAGCAAGTCAGGCATAGGGGCACCAGTTTAATAATCCCGCCTAGGGCACCCTAATCCTAAAGACGGCCCTGCACAGAGGCCCTTTTGCCCATCCCTGCTCTAAGCACTCCTAGGGTAGGTTTGCTAAGCTTTGACTAGAAGGACACTCATACCTGATTTATCAATGATTGCATCTATCTCCTCAATCACATCAAAATATGCCTCATTATTAGTGTATTTCACACCAGTCCGTCGCCAGGGTACGACTGAGAGCTGTCCAGTAGGGAGCTGGTCACCTACATTGGTGCTTCCTGCCAGGGTTAAGGAGATCAGGATGAATACAAGCAGCCTAACAAAGCCCTATAAGAAGCCACTGAGCTCACCCAAATAGTATGTTGATGTGTTCCTGAAGTCCTCCCTCATTGGACAAGAGAATAGTCACTCCAGTAAAGTCACTGTCCAATGGCTCAAAGCATCCATTCACTAAGCATTACAGGTGACCCCCGCACTTACGACCTAATTGGTTCCTGGAGAATCATTCTAGGTCGAGCTGTCATAAGTTGAACCCTTTCCCCCACCCCTACAGGCGCAATGATAAAAATGGGGGTTCTGTTCCTGGCCCGTTTTGCCTCCTGGGAGTTGTAGTCCGCAGTGTGAGCTGCTACCAGAGCCAGCTGGGGGCTGTGCCAGGGGAGGGTGGCATGGCACACGCTGCTCTCAGAGCCAGCTGGGGGCTGTGCCAGGGGAGGGCGGCATGGCACAAGCTGCTCTCAGAGCCGGCTGGGGGCTGTGCCAGGGGAGGGCGGCGTGGCACAGGCTGCTCTCAGAGCCGGCTGGGGGCTGTGCCAGGGGAGGGCGGCGGCCAGAGCAAGGCGGTCGTAAATGCGGGGGGTCGTATGTTGGGGTCGCCCGTACTTCTCCTGCCACCTCTCCCACTAGCCCCACATGCGAAAAGAGGTGGTCCAGTCCACTTGTCATTTCATGGATCCCACTAGAGTGCTACATAGTCCATTGTGGGAACAGGACTTTCAGGGTAAAAGGAGATCCAATGTCTAATGCTAGAACCTGGCCTGCTCCAATACCAATGTGGCCCCCAGGCTGTGTCAGCTACACTGGAGGACAGGAGGCTGTGGCTGGAATAGCAACTTCTCCTCCTCCCTCCAAATCATTTCAGCAGAAGGATCATCACAATGACTCAGTTGCTTACCAACTCCTCACTCAACTGTACCTGTAATTGTGTTGACAACCGTTCGCAAGATGGTGGGGGGTTTTATCAGCTCCTTCAGGATATTGGACTCAGTAGCCAATGGGAATCCATTGTCCAGCATCTCCTCTAGGACCTCATAAACCACCACAACATTGTCCTTGATCACCACCTCCGAGCAGACACCAAAATAATCCTGTGTGAAATAGACAAGATTACCCAGCTTCCCCAGTAAGCACTCACAAGAACAGTTGTGAATATTAATGCTGAAAGAGAGACACCAATGGGCCAGCTAATTACAGCCAAGAATCAGAGCTTGTCTATACTTGAAATACCATTGCAGCTGTGCCACTTTACTCTTCAAATCAGACAAAATATACACCAACTGAAAGTGTTCTTTCAGCCCTGCAGGTAACCCGCCTTCCCAGAGTAAGTAGTGAGGTCACTGGATGAATTCTTCCACTAATCTAGCACTGTCTAAACTGGGGTCAAGTCAGATTAGCTCTATTACTTGAGGCATGGATTTTTCCACATCTGAATGGCACAGCTAGGATCACTTAACTTCTTAGTGCAGATCAAGCCTTAAATATGTTGCTTTCCTCACATTCCTTAAGCCAGGGGTTCTCAATCTTTTTCTCTCTCAGCCATCCCCGGCTATAAAATGTCCACAGTTTTCTTCATGTAACGCTGGCCCTGGCTTTTATTTGCAGAAAACCAGTTGTTGTGGTCCCACTTGTGCCACATCACCTGTTATCACCTTATATAAAAGCCAGGGCCAGCATTGGAGGGTAGCAAGCAGGACAGCTACCCCATGCCACAGGGGCCCCCACCAAGCTAAGGTGCTCAGGCCTCAGCTTCTGCCCCTGATGGCAAGGCTCCAGGCATCAGCTTCTGCCCTGAGCCCAAGTGAGCCTAACACTGGCCCTGCTTGGCAGACCTCCTGAAACCTGCTTGCAGTTCCCCAGAAGGCCCCGAGTGCCTGATTAAGAGCCACTGTCCTAATCTGCACCTACAGGTCTCTAATCCTGCTGCTTGTATGAAGCAATCTCCCCTTGATGCTCAGCTATTCCTCTTAATGGTCTTACTCATGCTACAAACCATAGACTGTATTTGTATTCTATCTTAAGTTACTCAGTGTTTAGAGAAAGTCCTAAATTATTTATACAGCGTATATTTCTAGTGTGAGGGAAGGCTAGGGGAGAACTGGAAAACTACAAGCTGCTTTTGATGCTATTCCTTTCTACCTGGTCTTTCTTTTACAAGAAAAACACAATTTATCAATGAACATTTCTGAAGTGCCTCCCATCCATGTTGCTCTTGGTCTTTTCGCCCCAATGCCATTTCAGCATCTTATACACTGCTGAGAAAGCCTCAAAGTAACTTGAATGGCCAGCTAACCGTAGGTCCTGAGAACAAGTCTGGTATGCCACAATCTGCTGAAAAGCAACTTTTTCCCTCCTGAAGGACAGAAACCCAGTGCACAAACTTGAGAAGTGGGTAAAAGGAAAAATCTGTAGCATGAATAACAGAAGATCCCCAGCCCAGCATCTGCTTCAGTCACTCGGCCTCTCAACGACAATTGCTACACCTTGGCTACGCTTTGTATTTAACAGCATTAAAATTCCTTGTCAGAGCCTAACAAATCAGGCTGTGAGCCTATCAAATCTTACCAGTTTAGGAACTAGAATGGGAGATCTCCAAGAAGAAAATCATATTGGTGATTCAACAGTTCCCTTTGATTGAGTATTAAATCAAATATTTACACACAGCTTGATCCTAGGGCAGCGATGAGCGACCTGTGGCACACTGGGGCACCAAAGCCCCGTATTTCTTATGCCTCTCCCTCCCTCCCAGCACTTTCGGAGGAGCCACAAATCACCTGATTCACGCTCCATCCTTGCTTCTCCCACTCCATTCCCAGAGCTGGAATGTCGCAAATCAGCTGCTGTGGCCGACTGAGGTAAAGGAGGGCCACTCATGTGGCCCACTCACTATTCGTGGTTCCCATCCCTGTGTTAGGGGTCGTTCATAACACTTTTCAGTAAAACCAGGCTTCAGACCATGCATGCTTATCAGAAATCCAATGCATTTTTCATGAAGAGTGTTATGAAGCTGTTTTGCCCAAATTCTGATGTGGGTAATTGCCTACCTAATTCTACCCCTATATAGTCCCCCAATATCAACTGAAGAGAGAATTATTTTCTTATCCTCAGCTGTCACATAGTGCCTGTGTGGGGTTAAGCAACTACCATGTGCCATCCAAAAGATGACTGCATATCATACTGGCTAAGCCATCGTGCATGTTCATGCATATTTACTTTATCTATACACTGGCAATGCTTCAAACACAAAAGTACGATGCAAATGTCAAGTATCATCTGTGAAGTTTATGAAGCCCTCTGGAAACCTTTGTAATGAAAGGTACTACAAAACGTGAACATATTGTAACATGTATTTGCCCTGGTGGTAGAAAGGGAGGGGAAGACTTTTAAAAATATATAAAAACCATCCAGGGCTCTGCTACTGCTAATAGGCAGTGTAGTGCAGTTGCACCTCTTTCTTCTTGTTTTCTTCTTTCCATAGTCTAAGTTTTAACTAGCTATTATGGTTGGTGAGACAGTCTTGACAATGTGAGTGCAGGGCGTTTTCTGTTTGACGTAAAGTAATAGCTCTAAATATGCTTACACAATCTGTGGCAGCCAGCCTCCCAACTTGGACTGTCAGACAAAGGCTTGCACTGCTTGGCTAAAAGCCGATGTAGAAGCCATTGCAGTTCAGGCCAAAGTCAGTGGTCTTCAGAGCCCAGCCTCAACTTCAAAGCTGTGTCAACACAGCTACTTTGAATATGTAGTCAAAGTTGAATGCAAGTCTTTCAATCTGGGCTGGAAGGGGATGCTGCTGGCTTAAGTATCTTTAAGAGATGTGAATGGCCTTGTTCAGCTGAATAGCACTAACCCAGACCGACAATGATAACAACCTTGACATTTAACAACTAACAAATACCACTGCTCATCAAAGCCTGCAAGGAAGAAGGGGGTAAGGGAATCTTAGGGCATGTCTACACTATCTGCCAGATGAAAGGGGAGCGTTCCATCCAGCTTTCCAAAAGAATGAGAAGCATAAACAGAGTTGATGGGAGAGTGTCAGCTGTCGACTTACAGCAGTGTCTTCACAACGATTCTATCAGCTACATTCAGGTGGGTGACAGGGGAGGGATCACATGAGCATTACCTGCTGTGTTCCCTCCCTCTGCGGGATCTGGTATTAGCCACTGTCAGCAGACAGGATACCAGGTAGATGGACTGTTGGTCTACCCAGTATGGTCGTTCTTCTGTTCATTAGTCACATTGCTGAAACTGTAACTTAGATTGACGACAGCCTGCAATGGTGCAGACTATGACCATCTTAATGGTATACTGAGATGACCGTTCATTTGGGCACTGCTGTGAGTGAGCTTTAAACAATTCTGCCCCTTTCTCCAGCCCCCACAACCAAAAAGCCATGTCCAAAGAATTTAGGAGAGTCCCCAAAAGAGAGGCATGCTTAAACAGCGTCCTGGAACACGAGCCTCATGAATGGGAAGCCAACAGGAAGAATCTAGCAGACGCCATGGGTGAATTCTCCATCTGGGGGGGCAGCCAAGCACAAGCCCAGTAAGCATCAGTGATCATAGTCTGAACAGCCAGACCAATTTACTGGGAATAACAGCTCATAGATTTCAAGGCCAGAAGAGACCACAGTACTGTAATCATGTAGGCTGACCTTTTCTACAACAGAGGCTATAGAACCTCCCAAAAATAATTCTGATAGCAGATCTTTTAGAAACAATTTTTAAATCTGAGGGAGAATCCCACACAACCCTTGGTAAACTATTCCAATGGTTAATTACACTGTTTAAAATGTACACTTATTTCCAGTCTGAATTTGGCTAATTTCAATTGCCAGCCATTGAATTACATTGTACTTTTCAACAACAGATTGAAGAGCCCATTATCAAATATTTGTTCTCCATGTAAATATTTATAGACTGTGATCAAGTCATGAGTAACCTTTTCTTTGTTAACCTAAATAGACTGAGATCTGAGTCTATCATTGTAAGGCAAGTTTTCTCATCTTTTAATTTTTCTCTCTCTCTTCCCTGAGCCCTCTCCAAAAGTATCAACATCACAGCTAGAGGATCTCTGCATCTTGGGGTCTTCAAAGTATTTGAAGGCTTCAATATCTGAGATATAGGTGAGAGGATTATTCTAGGAGGGGTGGGTGAGATTTTGTGGCCTGCACTGTGCAGGGGGTCAGACTAGATGATCATAATGGTCCCTTCTGACCTTGGAGTCTATGAGTCTATAAGAGCACCATCAAGTTTCATGCTCCACCTAACACTCTGTCTGATCCCTGAATTTCTGTTCCCATTCCCCACCCACATCTCCCAAGTCTGAAGTCAAGCGTGTGACTATAGTGCTTAGAAGCAAAACACATATGACAAAGTAGTTTGACTAAAGGCTCTAACTCTTTTCTCTCTTCCACTCTGACTCTGGTCACAAGACACCTCAAATCCTGATCACAAGATTCAGAACTTTGCAAGCAAAACATGACATCCGTCCTTCCTTCCCCAGACAGCCTGAGGATTTCACTCCTACTGACTCTGAATATTGTTAACTCTCTGAGGGAACTCTAATGTGACTCTTCAATCTACGAAACAAGATTTGTACTTTAAATTCACACGAAACTCAGAGAAACCAAATCCAAATGGTAATACTCCATTACATGAAAGAAATATAGTCAGCTCCCCAAATTCTTTTGGAAGGAGAAGAGTCCACTTTGAGATTCAAAAAAATACCACGAAAAGCAGCTCTATTTTGTATCTCTTTTGAAGTGTGTATAAACTAGACACTTACAAAAGGGATAAAGAGATGGTACTGGTAGTTACATCCCATACAATACTACAACTCTTGCAAACATAAGTTGATTGCAATGTCCAGTTTTTCTAGTTATCAGTACAATTCTACCATGACTGGGAATCACCTTGCTCCTGATCCAGTTCTGGTCTTCTCATGAGCAGAGTTACAGTTATGGGACACAGAAAAGCAGAAGCAAATTACTGGTAACTTAGAGTTCCTTTCATTCCTCCACCCCTTCTGCTTTTATTTTTAAAATTAAACATAACCATAATATATCACAATCTTTCAGAATTTTTATATGTTTCAGTCCTCCACACTCTGCCACTGTAATCTATAAAATAGAATATCCTGGTGAAAGAAAAAAATATTCAGTTACAAAGAAACTGACAACGTCAGCTCCTTTATGATCCAAGACAGGATTTATACCCCAGATCTGCAAAGACAAAAGGCTACTGAATTAATTCTCAGAACTAATACCCTTTCCTACCTTGCAGAAGATCCAGCGAACCCCAAAGTTGTTAGTTATTATTAGGATTATTTTGTTAAAGTAACAGAAATTTGTATATGATCGCAAATGTCTATTTGTTGACAGGTACAATTCAAGTTGTTCACTTTGATTTACTGTAAAAAGCACCTACTGGTTGGGTGCTGACCAAGTGAAGCATCGCGCTCTGAGATCAGAGATAAGCTCTAGTGTGTCTGAGCTAACAGTCCCCAGTTTTACATTTCAGGGTGACAGAACATTCTCAAAGGCAGACTCTGAATTTGAAAGAGCTCAAGCGTGATGACTTTTAGGGCATTGTGTGAAACACATCCCTTTTTATAGGTTTTTAACTTGGCAAGAGCATGTTAGCCTATACCAGCCAAGCAGAACATGCTAAAGCCCACATGCAGAGACAGAGCACTTCAGTTTAAAAAAAAAAAAAAAACGTATTGGATCAGTTGGTATTGAACGCCACAGTATTGCTGCAAGGCAATCTTTGCTATTATTATAAGAGAGGATAACTGCATCTGTGATAAATAAATAAGAAATAGCATGACAAAATATCCTGCTTCTCTCACCTGGAAAGTGTCCACAACCCGATGTAAGAACTCAATGACAAATAGGGGCGGCACTTCTGTCTGAATCACTGCCACGAAAAAGATCTTATGACGATAAACACTCAGGAGGTAGTGGTGAGGTGTGGGGATCACCGGAGGTACATTTTCTGCCTCTGTAGCCCTCTCTTGAGCTTCAAAAAAGTAGTCACAAACAGAGCGGCTGACAACACTTTTCCAGTGTTTCTCCAGAAAAATATCTCCTGAGGAGTTAATCAGGAAGAGGCTGTGAATCATGGTTGACCCCAAGGGAGTCCAAGCGCTGGGAACACTTTGCCTACCCAACACGACCCTGTTCCACAGTAGTTTGATCCTAGAAGACAAAACAGCCCGTTCAAGAGGTTGATCTTTGATGCTATTTAATTCTACACAAAGTAACAACGTGGCCACAGCTGAAATGTCAGGAGACCTAGATTCTGTTCTCAGGCCTCTTCTACATTACAGGCAGTCCCCGAGTTACGCGGATCCGACTTATGTCGGATCCGCACTTACGAACAGGGCTTTTCTCGCCCCGGAACTCGCAGGCGGCAGGACCACCCAGACGCGCAGTGGTCCCGCCACCGCGTCCTCCGGGGCGAGAAAAGCTGCTCCGGGTGTCCCTGGTCTGCTGGGGGGGTCCCCAGCAGACCAGGGACACCCGGAGCAAAGCCTTGGAGGCGCGGGACTCCGCCGCCTCCGCGGCTTTGCTCCGGGTCTCCCTGGTCTGCTGAGGGGGTGGGGCGCAGGTAGTGCGCCCCCCCCCCCCCCCAC